TACCATCATATGGAAAATTACCCAGTTTTAATGTGCTTTACTTAGCAATAGCATGAGCCTGCTGTCATCTGCCATTACACATGCACAGTGCTTCAGAAGCAGTTTGGCTTCATCGAAACGACCCCATAATTCCTTGGCTCCGCAGTGTTGTTCAGAAATCTGCTCCTTCAGGAGTTTAGCGTTGGAGTTTGGCTCATATTTCATCCTCAGCCTGCCCTTTCTCACCTCCTCTTCTGCATTATGTAAGACTGCACGGCACTCCTTCTCGAGAATGAAAGATGCAGAGAGCCGGTGGGAGGGGGACTTGGGATGTTTCCTAATGATTTTCTTCCCATCATCTTTTTATGAGCCGGATCATTCGCTGGCCGTAATAATCACGCAGCTTATTAAACCTGTGGTGTTATCAGCCTGCCAGACGTGTGACTTTGTCCAAAGACCACATTACACGAAAGGTCAAGGCAAGAGAGATTTGATTCACAAGACACAAAGCTACTCGGATGTTAAAGTATTTAAAGGGTTAGCTCATCCAAAAATGAAAATCTCCCATTAATTGAATCACCCACAGGTCATTCACGATGTTGGTTTCTCCAGTAGGACATTAAAGAAGATTTTTAGGTGAATCCATGGTTCTTGGTGATTCATATAATGCCAGTGAATGGAGATGGGTTTTAAGATAAAAAACAAACAAGCTCAAATGAGTCTAAATCAATAGTCATGGCTCCTGATGACACACAGAGGTCAAGCATTCTTTGTAAGAAACTAAACATTGTTTGCAAGATTCATGCAGCTGAACAGCTGAAGACAAATATGTATGTATATATATATTAGCCTAAATTAGTTGTTACAATGTTCTAGTATTTTTAAATTATTTCCTAAACTGAAGTTTAAGTGAGTTACATTTGCACAGTATTTTCCTATTATATTTTTTCTTCTCAAGAAAGTCTTTTTTTTTTTTTTGTTGGAATAAAATATTTATCATATTTATTTATTTATTTATTTATTTGTTTATTGATTTATTGATTTATTTGATTTTTTTCTTTTAGTGGTTAATAATATTATTAGTCCCCTTAAAACTTATCATTATTTATTTATTTATTTATTTATTTATTTATTTATTTATTTATTTATTTATTTATTTATTTATTTATTTGTATTTTTTAATTAATTAATTTATTTATTTATTTATTCATTTATTTGTTTGTTTGTTTTTGTTTTTGTTTTTATATTATTATTCCCTTAATAAAGTATTTATTTATTGTTATGCTCAATTTTATTATCCTTCTTAAGAAATTATCATATGTTTTAATTAATTTATTCATGTATTTATTTATTTATTTTTTATGGTCAATATTGTTTTTCCTCTTAAGAAATTAATTATTTATTTATTATGATCAATATTATTATTCCCCTTAAGAGATTTTTTTAAATTAATTTTTATGGTCAATATTATTATACCCCTTAAAAAATTTTATTTATTTATCTATTTATTTATTTATTTATTTATTTATTTATTTATTTATTTATTTATTTATTTATTTATTTATGTATTTATTTATTTACTTATTTATTTGTTTATTTATTTATATATTTATTTGTTTATCAATATTTTTATTTATTATAATTCTTTTTTTTTTTTTTATGGTCATCATTGTTATCCCCCTTAGGAAATTATTATTTATATTTATGTATTCATTTATCTACTTTTTTATTTATTTATTTGTATTATTATTATTATTATTATTATTATTATTAGTAGTAGTAGTAGTAGTAGTAGTAGTAGTAGTAGTAGTAGTAGTAGTATTGTAACCTAAATAGGTAAGCCTTTAAATGTCACTTTAATCTGAATACTAGCATCTTGCAAAACGACTAGCAAAATATTATACACTGTCATCATGGCAAAGACAAAAGGAATTGGCTATTATAAATTAGCTATTAAAATGTTATGTTTAAAAATGTACAGAGAAAAAAAACATCTCCATTTAAACATATCTTGGAAAAGAGGGTTAATAGTTTTGCCTTGAATTGATTATTATTTAAACTATAACCAAAAATACAGTGCACTTAAAACCACTACATTCAATATTTTCCAGCTCTGCATCCCTCGTCCACTTTACGCCTTAGTTGTCGTTCTGACAGGATCAAGAAAGACAGAAAAACAAAATCGAAGCGCATGATGGAGAGTGGAGGATTAGACATGATGAAAGTGTACATGCGAGAGGGAGAAGCCTGAAAACAAAGCATTTGGGCGTTAAGTTGTTGTGTCACTGAGGGATTTGCAAAGGTAGTCAGTTCCCCGAGGACCCATAATGAATGCTGCCTGTTTTTCTAGCTCTCATTTAACACCCACATTCCCGAATAGAGCCCGTCTTTCACTTCAGATATCGCAGTCGGGATGCGTCTGGGGTTGTAATCCATCTTAATCTTCACCACAACATAAGCTGTAGACAAAAGGAAAGGTGCAAACAGAGACCTTAGCGGAGATATGATGCCAAAAGTGCTGTCTGTATTAAACTAAGTGGTTTTGTGGTGATACAGTGTCATTATAAATGAGATTACGTGCTCATCAGACAGTAAGAGAGAGAATCTTGCTGGTTTGAGTCCCAGCTGGATCAGTTGGCATTTCTGTGTGGAGTTTGCATGTTCTCCTTGTGTTGGCATGGGTTTACCGGGTGCTCCGTTTCCCTCACAGTCCAAACACATGTGCTATAAGAGAATTGGATGAACTAAATTGGCCATAATGTATGTGTGTGTGTGTGTGTGTGAATGTGAGAATGTATGTAAAACACATGCTGAAATAGTTGGCTGTGGTGACCACTGATAAATAAGACACTGAGCTGAAGGAAAACTGATGAATGAATGTTTAAAAACACACTCGTCTTTTGTTCTATGATAAAAAAGCAGAGATTTCATAGGAAACAACACAGAAATGGTGTGATAAATGTGGATTGTGTGCTTCTGTTTGTCTACTTCGGTGTATTGTGTTTGATTTGGTGTGTCTGTGAGACTTACTTTAGTTCTTTTTAATCCAGAAGTGTAACACAGCAAGTGTTTTTCTTTTTAGGCTAAACATTGCTGATTCACTGTATGCCCTCCGGGTCTCTTTACTGTTGAGCTCAGATGAGATAAGCTTAATTTATGTTCATACAGTTCATACTTTTTTCTACTGCCCTTCATCTCTGCGCAAAAAAAAAAAAAAAAAAAAAAAATATATATATATTTTTTTATTTTTTGTCTTGTTTCTAGTCCAAATATCTAAAAATTCTTAAATCAAGAGGCATTTTCAAGACAAGCAAAACATTTGTCTTGTTTTAAGAAAATAATGAGTCAAAATTAAGTTTGTTTTTCCTTAAAACAAGCTAAATAATCTGCCAATGCGGTAAGCAAAATAATCTTATGTCAAAAGGAAAAAATATTGAGCTTATCCCATTGGCAGATTAGTTTGCTTATTTGAAGGAAAACTAATTGAATAATTGAATCTTCCCTCATTATAAAAGGATTTTATTCTTGTTTTTGAATCTGCCACTATGCTGACACATTTGTAGCTCCACCCTCTTTTGAAACCTCTTTTGAATCTCATTTGAATTTAAAGCGACAGTCACCAAAATGGCACAATGTGAATCAAAGCCTGAAAATAAGCAGTGTCAAAGAGTTACAAAACATTATTTGTGTGGCGTTTTAATCCGAAACTTCCAACACAATCTCACAATTCGTAATAACTGTTCGAATTCGTAGCTTTTTGATTTAGTGGCTAATTCGTATGAATTTGTACAATCTAATTCGATTTGCTCATCCCCCAATAACGGTTGGGTTAAGGGGTGGGGTGAGGTGCCACGTCTCCTTTTTAAAATCATGCAATTTCATACGACTGAACTTGTACAAATTTGTACGAATTAGCCACTAAACTGGCAAAACGTAAAATACATACGTTTTCTCATGAGATCAGGCTGGAAACTTCACATGAACACTCTTGGGGCCCTTTCATACACCCGACGCAATAAGGTCAAGACGTATTTGGCTATTTTCAGACCATTGCAACAGTAATTTTCAAAGTTTATTCTTTGTTATTATTTTTTATTATTATTATTAATAGTAATTTTTTTTTGTTTATTCACGATAATGTTGTTATTTTTAGTAGTATTATTTATTATATGCATATTTATATTTGATTTAATAATAAACTAATTTAGATTTGTGGGGTTTCGGAGACGTCTGCATCAGCATGTGGGGCATAAGACCAGGACTTGTGTTTGGATAGAACTCTGACCACACTTTGTTTTTATTGTTTATTTATTCCTTTGCTGGAAATTACAACTGAATTTAGAAATAGTTTTAAAACAAATCTTTGCACTTAACAAACAAAATTAAATATGTAGGCTGATGGATGTGAGTTCAGTTGAGTCAGTTTCCACTATTCCCTCACTCCAGCAAAGTAAAGGAGTAAAGAGTAAAAGTAAAGTTAAGGGAAAGAGGCCGAATGTAGGAGGCTCGTTCTTTATCCTCGTGCTGCAGATGCTCTGTTTAACCTGCAGGTGAAGTGTTCAGTTTTTCCACTTACAGTACTAAGTCTGCCAGTGTAAATAGCAAATGTGCCATGGTGCGACGCAACTGACTCTTCAAGGGAATGAGAGATGAGACTCTGGTTGGTTTAATGCACGTTATGCTCAAAACACTCCTATAACTCATTAAGAGAATAAGCTCAACCCTTTTAGACCATGTGCCAGGGCACAGACTGTATTTTTCCACCCTTAAAATAGCAAAAGTGGATTCGGACACGCCCTTAATGCTTTTGCTTCATGCACTTTAACCTTTGCGCCTAGATCGTTAAAATAGCAGCCTAAATTACTTTACATCTTGTAAAAGGGGGCATAATAGCTCCCCTTTAAGTACTCTACCCAACACTATTCACGACACATACTCTCTATTAGATGATGTGTTTTTCATTTTGGTTTACATTAACTGTCATATATAATAAATGGTTTGTTTTTCTCTGTCTTTCACAGATAATGAGGGTGGAGAGGTGTCTCCACCTGTAGGCGCTGGAGTGGACAGCAACAGCTGGCATTTCCGATATGGGCCGGGTCCCGGAGGCCCTCCGCACCTGAAACCCGGTGAAGTTCCTCCCGAAGCCTTCATCATCCCTGGATCTCCGGCCATTATTTCCATCAGACAAGGACAGGACGGTGACGACAAGAGCGACTTTATTACCTTTGGGAAAAAGGAGGAGGCCAAGAAGTTAAAGAAGAAAAAGAAGAAGGAGAAGAAGGATAAGCGGGAGAAAGGGAAGGATGATGATGATTAGAGAGACAGAGGAAGGATGTCTTTTAAAAGACAGAAGTCTCAACGAAAGTCTGTAGAACAAAAAGTGTGCGTTTATTAAGTCTGAGATGCATATTTGGGAGCTCGTCCAAATGTTTTCTTTTTACAAAAACGTTCCTGTTTGATTACACAAATACATGGCATCCCTTTCCATTTCTTAATGATGAAACTGATTAATCTTGCCTGTTAGATTACTGATTAGTGTTCTCTACAATTCAGACTGGAGTTGGTACGTCTGTCTTTTTCATCCGATTGGCTTTTGTTTTCCTTTTGATAGGAAGACAAAATCTGATGTATAATGTTTGTTAGCTGTGTGCCGCTTCAAGTGTGTTAAAATGCAGGAGGGAAAAAAAAAACTGCACATGCTGGTGTAAATATGCAGGTCGAGGTGTGTGAAGACGCTAAGTTAACGCTTTTTGCTCATTCACTTCTCCTGGTGCAGGATGGGAGAAACATCCTGTAAAACGAGAGACGCTGATACATACTTTCACACAGAGGACACAAAAAAAGTCTCACATCCTCGAAATAAAAAACGAAAACAACAAAAAAAAACAGTGTTTATCAAAAAAAAATGTACACCGAATGATGGAATGCACTTTTATTTTGCTTTAATTTTGTTACCAGCAAATGTTCTCCAAGGTATAGTATATATGTGAGCTGTTAGTCCCATATATACACACAAATACGCATATATATATATATATATAGACAAACACATCTAGTAAACAGGGTCAAACATCAGAGCATCTCACAAAACCTCTCCGGCTCTGAAACATTCATAACCTGGCAAACTAGTTAGGTTTTGGGCAGAGATTAGTGAATTGAAATATCACACAAACAGAGATTAACTCTTTTGGGAGCCTGGTTATGTGCTCTGTTGTTTATAGGGATGGCTGAGAATGTTAATGCATTATAAACAGTATTACTGTTGAATCACCAAACCTTAAACGCATCATAAACTATCCCTAACGTAGAAACGGCATGAGGTTTATGCCCTTGAATTTTTCTATGACGTTGCCTCGTACCTGTAGTCCCCCCCACCCACCTTCATTCACCCTAATTTTGTGCCTGCTTTCTCAGCTCAGTATGTCTACAGTAGTATCATCGTACTACACCAAAAACCTAGTCGACCTCCTTTCTGCTTGCTGTCTGGAGGACCAACGCACCCCAAGAGCAAAGAACACAACGTATTAGCTAGGGCTTTTCCAATTTTGGGCAGGGGTTTTTCTCTCGTGCGCCGTTTTTTATAAGCTTTAAGTCGACTTGATTGCTACTGTACAGAGTCTATCTCTCTTTCTCTTGATCTCTCTGCTGGGTAGGCTAGCTCTAGACATTGTGGTGTACTTATGTAGTATGGAGTAATGCAGACAACGCCTGTCAAGTCACACACGCCCCCGCAGAGGACAGACGCCCCTCCCACAGTGCTGTCATATGCAAATGATCCAGCGCTGTCCAATCAACCTCAGCTCTGTCTCTGTATAAGACTTTGTATTTCTGCTGGTCTCTCATCGGTTCATTCTCGGACAGACGAGGAAAGGGAGACGATGCATTTAGGCAAGGTTTAGGCAAGGGGTGGAGATTATGGAGTAAATGCCTGTTCACACTAAAAACACTGAAAAAAACACACATTTATTAAGTTAACTCAATTGTTTTTACAAATTTAAGTGGATTGAACATAAAATAATTAAGTTGTCCCAAAAAAAAAACCTTTATAATTGTGTTGTTTCAACTCATTTTTAAATAAGTAGATTGAACAAATCATTTTTGAGTGAATGGTTGTTAGTGGGGAGACACGGTGGCTCAGTGGTTAGCACTTTTGCCTCACAGCAAGAAGGTCACTAGTTCGAGTCTCAGCTGGGTCACTTAACATTTCTCTGTGGAATTTGCATGTTCTTCCCGTCTTCCCTGGGTTTCCTCTGGGTATATATAAATATTAGGGATGTCAAGATCTGAACATGTGATCGAAAAACGTGTCCGATCACGCAGTTTCAGACTCGATCAGAATCTTTTTTTTAATTTTTTATATATATTATAAAAGTATCGGATCGGGTTTCGGTATCGGTAGATACTTAAAATCAAATGACTCAGACTCGAATTCGAGGGCAAAAAAACTTTATCGGGACATCCTTAATATATATATATATATATATATATATATATATATATATATATTGTGTGAGACCTGATAAGTTAAGTTAACTCAAACTGTTTAAGGAAACTGATTGCGACAAATAATTTAAGTTTTGAAACAAAATGGTTTGAGTTCTGTAAACTTATATATTGTGTCACATACACATTTGTGTTGATATCATCTAACTTTTAGAGTATAAGAAACGTGAACATTTTTACTTCAGTTATTAAATAATTATTAGTTCTATTAACTTAAATTAAGTCCAAACAACTAAGGTTCTCAAATGGTGTGGTATTCTAGAGTTAACACAACAACAACAACAAAAAAAATACCATAACTGTTCTTCATTGAATTAAACTAACTTTAAACATAAAGTACATGTATATACAAGTTAAACTAACTTGTTTTATTTAGTGAATTTCACTATTATATTTTTCAGTATTATAATATTGTAATCAATGCTAATGAAGTTAAAATAAATGAATTTTTTGGCATATAATGGGTTACAGATTGGTCATGAAGTGTAAAACCCAACAGTGAACTTTATCAAATGAATTGAGTGTAAACTCAAAACTTGCTGAAAGTTAATTCTACTTATTTGAAAAGAGATTTGAACTCAATTAGTTAAATACCTCATTACGTCCACTTAAAAGTTTACAGTACTCATATAGAGTAGGTTTTTTTTTAACTCAAATGGTTTGTTGCAATCAGTTTTCTCAAACGGTTTGAGTTGCCTTAACTTATTGGGTTTCACAGTACTCAGTTGGTTTGATTATCTTCATTTAGTGGATTTTACTGTGCTCAAATTCGTTTACTCAAATGGACTAAGTTTGCTACTCGTTAGGATTACTTATTGAACTTAAATGGTTTGTTGCAATCAGTTTCCTCAAATGGTTTGAGTTACCTTAACTCTTTGGGTTTAACAGTGTAAATATAACCCAACACTTGGGTTTGTTATTATTTTACCGAAATTTAATCTGAAAAAAAATGTGCATGACACTTTAAATGCTCACAGTCAATAAATTTACAAATCAGGTAGTTTCTGATTGGTCGCCAATGTGTTTACTTATTCATAAAACACATATAATCATAAAGCAATAGTGTATGATTATTGTTCTTAGTGTGAACTGAGAGGTGAAAATAATGGCTTTGCCATTGCAGAACCAATGTTAAAGACACAGTGTCATTTCTGTGACATTCATTTAACTGATAAAGCCATGGTTTTTGAGCCAACATTGCTGTATCAGGCTGGCTAAGATGCTCATACAACAGGAGCGATATGTTTTTTTAACACTTTAAGCTTTGATATATCAAAAGAAGCTGATAAACTATATAAACATCAGAAGCTTGCACACTGTTATGCATATAACAATAAACTAATGAAAGTGTTCAGTTATTTAAAAAAAATCAGGCTTTTTTAGGTTTGCAACAAAGTTTCACTTCAAAGATCGGACTGTTTTCTCCACCCTGTGTCTTTAAAACTCAACATTAGCGTCTGATTACAGCAGCGATGACACATCTGTGCTCTGATTGGTTCCTTCACTTCTTGCCTGCCTACCTTGTTGTCACACACCCAAAAACGTGTCTCGAACCGATGTCACAAATACTGCTGCATGACCTTACCAGAAAGAAACACTTACTATATAGAGATATATATGACTATAGATATAGATGGCTATGATTTGTACTATTTTTGTTGATCATTAATCACACAAGAGATTTGTGTACGTACCGTCTCTGAGCCTTTTTTTTTTTTGCATACTGACACCTCTGCACCGACTTACAGTGGACAGTTATGACGTTACTAAACCTTGGTATTTGTAAATGCTCAATAGTGTGATGCCCTGAAGCTCTCGTTTTTATCCTTTTCATTTTGGTTTATGAGAACAAAGAGAAAAAAGACAAAAAAAAAATCAGTTCTTTTGTGTTTGGCTTTGACATACTGATCAAACTAGCACTGTTTATTGTAGCTTAATTATGTATGATGATTCTATCCCTACTCTTTCACTTCTTTGACAAAGAAATACAAAAAAAATAACGGGAAAACATCCTGATGTAAAATACGATATGTGTATTGTATGCTTGTAACTAGTGAGTGTTCATGCTGTCATTCTTTCTTAATGTCTGGTGGTGATCAGTAGGTGGCGCCGTGCTGTCCGACTGAATGGCGCTCATCTGTTGTAAAACCCTCTCTCTTTTCTTTTCTCGTACACCTGCTCTCATCAATACGTGATGGTGAATTAATGGCGTTCATTCCTTTTGTTATTTTCTCTCTCTTTTTTCATTATGATGGAAAAGTGGTAATGTGTTTTGTTTATAAATCACAAAATAAATAAACTTTTCTTTCTTAAGAATGTGAACGACGTTGCCTGCGTTTCTGTGTCTGCGTGGTAGCTGTGACTTTGGATGAAAGGCTTTAATTGGAAATGCTTACTTGTTTATCATCTTTGTGGTCACACTTTACGGTTCATTAGTTGATGCATTTGCTAGCATGAACTATGCATGAACAGTACTTGTACAGCATTTATAAATCATTATTTAATTTCCCAATTTGCAGCGCGTTTCTTCAGTTGTTTGTGCTGTGACCAATTCGCAACACGTGTGCCACTTACTTCCCTAAACCCAACCAACAATTTACAAAAGCCATCCAGAAAAACAAAAGCCCTCATCTGATTTTTACCCTGTTATGAACTAGTTTACTTTATTTTTTTGGATACTGTTTTTGTCTTATCTGATTTCTGGACCTGCTCTTCTCTGGGCTCGAACCTAGTCGTCGAGGTCAACTACTCTCTGCATCTCAAGTCAGCCGACGCACACGTCGAGCTAACTGGACAAACCGGATGCTGCGGGAAAGCCCTCCACACAGAGGTAAGCGGTCAGCCGGTGTCATGAGAAATCAGGTCCCTCCTGACAATTAGGTCCACCTAGGATCCTATTGGTTATCTGGAGTTGTAATAGGTATAGTTTGTAGCACCTGATGAAAAAAATAATAATAATAAATAATATGTATATACCTGATTCCCATATCATCACAAAATCTTTTAGGATCAATATTTTAAGTGAAGTTTCTTTATAAACTAATTCTGAGAGGATCACGTGCTTATGATTGATCACGGCTGGTCCTGCATTATTCAATCTATGATTCATCAATCAGATAATTCCTAAATCACTATAAATACCCTAATTCTATATGACAGCCATCTTTTTTTTGAAGAATCCCCCCTTAAACCCCAACTCCTCCTCCTTTTCTAGAAGTGTGGCATGGTGGCCCAGTGGTTAGCACTGTTGCCTCACAGCAAGAACGTCACTGGTTCTATTCTTAACCAAGCCAGTCAACGTTTCTGTGCAGATTTTACACGTTCTCCCCGTGCTCACGTGGGCTTTCCCCGGTTTCCTCTC